TGTAGTAGAGGTGATGGCTTTTAGTAGAGGTGATCCGATGTAGTAGAGGTGATGGCTTTTAGTAGAGGTGATCCGATGTAGTAGAGGTGATGGCTTTTAGTAGAGTTGATCCCTTGTAGTAGAGGTGATGGCTTTTAGTAGAGTTGATCCCTTGTAGTAGAGGTGATGGCTTTTAGTAGAGGTGATCCCTTGTAGTAGAGGTGATGGCTTTTCGTAGAGGTGATCCCTTGTAGTAGAGGTGATTGTTTGTTGATTGCATCCACAATGCCAGCTGTTTGATGTCTGTTCGAGTTGCAGTGGAGGAGACGCATACATATGTCAAGATTCTCAACATATGTACTGTATGAGTCAATTTGAGAATTGGCAGAAAATGTCTGATAGACTCAGTTCACTAAGCCATAAAATCACTATTTGTTATAACAGTTGCTATTTTTAGCAATGAGCACAGAAAATAATGATAATTATGACAAATAATACATGGTTCAGTGAATTGAATCTATAAAGCTTTATTGGCACTTTAAGAGTTACTTTTGCTGAATATGTTTTTACATTGAATATAGTTGTGTGTCTGGATTACCCTTGTTTGTATCACTTACATTACACATCATCCTCAGATGATACAAAGTATCTGGATATAAAGACATAATAAACTAAAGGCCTCATTAGCAGCCCCTGTGTGCTGGAGGGATCCCCAGTGCTTTCCAGTGCTTGTGGAGCCACACATGGCACGTATAGCCACCGATAAAAGTGAATGACTGGACGCCGCCTACTCAGGTAAACACCAATGACTTGTGCACCAGCAGTAAGCCATGCATGTGCGTATGGCGCCTTTCCCTGGACATGCTACTTCCACATTTAGGGAGAAGCGCTGTATGCACATGTGGGGGTGTACAACGATGCAGAAGCCATTGGTTTTTACCTGAGCATCTCTACATCTATTTGCTTGTATTGCTGGCTATATGTGTCTTGTGGCTCTGTAGGCGCAGGAAAGTGCCGGAAGTTTTTACCTTAAGGGTTAGTTCACACTACAAACACATCCTCCAGATCCGTTCCAGATGCATTTCTGCATGAGCGTTTTCTAACGCATTTTTGATGCATTTTTTGATTCGTTTCAGGATACGTTCCAGATGCTGTTTTCTTCTTTTTTCCTGTTTTTTTTTTTCCTCTACTGGGGTCCAGTGTGTTTTTTTTTATTCATTTTACTACATTCCAGTACAATTCTGTGCAGGAAAAAAGCAGCATGTTGTACTTTTTCTTTCTGGAACTGAAATGCACTGGAACTGATGGCACTGGTGTGAACTATGCCATTGGAACCCATGTAACCTATTTTTCATACATTTTTGATGCAGGAGAAAAAACCCACTGCACTGTATGTGGTGTGAACTGGCCCTAACACCTCCTAAGGAGCTGGTAAGAATGCAGGTGCATGAGACATTAATGTTGGATTCTAAGCACATGCTGCTCTGTGATTATTAACCTATTGCTGACCATGCAACGCATATATACTTGCTGTTTAATTTGATGATTCTACACGCAGATTTCTAAAGTGCTGAGACAACATTTGTAAAGCCTGGATTTTCGGGATGCAATGTGATCTGATTTTCGCTTATTCTAAATAACAATAATAATTTTCATAATAATAAAAATATGTTTTTATTTAGCAGACAACACTCAGACCATTTTACATTGTGATATTGTTGGAGAAAGGTTTGTATTTTTAGTTAGATTTTCACTTACTGATGTAGTGTGTACAAGCTTGCTGTGCCTGTTACTTATTAGGGCTGATGCACATGGCAATACAGGGGGTGCACATTGTGAGAGCCGGCAGAAAACACCTTCTTGGGACACACAGCTGCTGAGCACAGCCACCCATTTGCATCAATGGAACCCTAGGGCCCATTTAAACTTGCGGTTGAAGGGTTGGGTATAAGCATTTGTTTGAGCCATGTTTTTATTGCCCCCCCCCCTTACACACACTTAAAGTGTTACTAAACCCACAACAGTAAAATCAGTCTGTATATGCAGTAAAGCATGCTTGTTATACTCACTGTAGAACCTAAGGGGTTAATCCTCTGCATTGTGTAAAAATGCTGTTTAATCCTGTCTTCTCTGATCCTCCCCTTCTTCTAGTGTCCCCCTCTTATCTCCTGATAAGACATATTGTGTGGATACACTCTGCACATGCTCAGTTAGGTGTGTATTGCTAGAGAGTTTTTTTTTTTTCTTGGGAGAGTACATGTGATTAGCATAGGGCCAATCAGCACTATCCAGACAGAGGTCAGGGGACCTGCATCCTCCTAGAGCAGAAAGAAAACTCCTACAAGCTTTAAGCAGGACTCGGCTGAACACTGATAGAAGTCACAAGACTGCTGTAGCTGCTGATGAGAAAATGTGTTTAGCAGTTCATATTTACGTACTCTCCACTCCTCGCAAGGCCTCCTACTCTCTAGCTCCCTTGTTTCCCCCTCCCATGCTTCTCTCTAGGACTTCTCCAGAGCTTCCCCCATCCTCTGGAACTCTCTACCCCAATTTATCAGACTATTGCCTACTCTGCCCACTTTTAGTCGATCTCTGAAAACCTATCTGTTCAGGGAAGCCTATCGTGCCCTCAGCTAATACTGGAATCTTCTACTTTTCCAACCAGACCATCCCCCACAGTTACTACCTTTTGTACCACTAGCTCCTCCCCCCTAGATTGTAAGCTCCAAGGAGCAGGGCCCTCTAATTCCTCTTGTATTGAACTGTATTGTTGCTGTATTGTCTCCCGTTATATTGTACAGTGCTGAGCAAACTGTAGGCGCTATATAAATCCTGTATAATAATAATATTTACTAAAATAATTGCATTTAAATTTTCTGACTACTGTGGGAGACCAGATATAGTGCATGCAGGATCCTGGGTTTAGTGACACTTTAAGCTGCAAAAAGCAGCATTGAGGGGTGTTCACAAATTATTTGCATTCGGGGGGCAGTATCACCACCATTCAAGTGAGCGGGGCTGTCCCACAACCACCCCAAAAATGCAGTTGCAGTATGGTGGTGGAGCATTTACAGGGTTAAAACACGCGGTGAGGAGGTGACATATTTTCTCCTCACCATCTGTAAAGTGATTCTGGGACATGATCTGAGCATGGATCGCTTTTCCGAGGTGTGGCAAACTTACAGATAGTGATTTGCCTGTGTTGATTACCTGTATATCAAGTGAAAGTGTTCCACCAGATTTGAGATTGAACATGACTATACTGCACTATTTCTATAGAAAACTCTTTGAAGGTACACTCCAAGTCTTGAGTTGCAGAGAGCACAAAAAAAATCAGTCAGAAAACAGGGCAACTCACACTCAGCATACAATAAAAAAAACTCCGGGCAACTAAAAAATAAACCCTTTTCACAAAAAAAAGATTTGCTTATCCGATCCTCTGATCCTGCCCTGCATCCTCTTCTCCCCTGCGCTCCAGATGATCCTGACGTCATCAAGACTAAAGTAGGGTCCCTAGCCCTGCATTGGACATTGTTGACGTCAAGGGACAGTCCACTCTCAGAGCGAGGGGGGAGCAGCACCTACCGAGGGAGCGGAGGATCAGGTAAGTAAAAGTGTTTTTTCTCCCCCCTGGATAAAATGAGCAATTAACCCTTGCAGTGCAGACACAGTCCTACAGCCCTACTTCAAGAGTTGATTTTACATTTTCCAAAACCTGGGCTTTAAGCAGAGATTTACCTTTTAGCAAACTTCATTAGAGTTCACGGACTAAGCCCAGTAATCCAAAACGTAGAGAGACAATGAACAGCAGGGTGTTCTGTACTTACTGGAGAGGGTCTTGGTGGTGGGGCAGCATGCTGGTGAGATTAAAGCTGAAATCCTGCCTTACCTCCAGCCCAGCCAGGGGCAGACTGACAACTCATGGGGCCCCCGGGCAATAGGGGATCATGGGGCCCCTGTGTCCTTGCCCAAACTCAAAAAAGCCTATGAAAAAGGTACCAGGGGCATCTCATGGGGCCCCCTACTGACCCCGGGCCCTCGGGCAGTGCCCGAGTTTCCAAATGGTCAGTCCGCCCCTGAGCCCAGCACAGTTGTACAAGCTCCTCTCCTGTACTGCAAATGCATACTGCACACTGTAAGCTTTTCACAGTGTGCATTGAAAGCTGCAGCTGGTCAATTGGCAACCACCCACCTCTTTTCCTGGCAGGAGGACATCCAGAATCATCTAGCGCTTTCCTCCCCCCAGCCCTTAGTCTACCCTTTTCTTACATAGGATTTCAGTTCTTTCAATGATGGAGGCTCAGCATCACATATGTGTTACCTAGGGCAGTCTGCATACAAATAAGCAGATTAAATGTCAGCTTTAAAGATCGCCCAGGCAGGACACACTCTTTCTAGCTCGCTCATCCTATGCATTTTGACACTGCTGTATTTGATTTGCTATAAAGCTGTATCTGCGTATCACTGGAAACATTTCATGTGTCTGTTATTTGTATGGGTTATGTTACTTTGTACAGAGAATCGATTCTGCTAATAATAATCGTATATGTATGATATTTGATGCTTTCTCTTTAAATGCGAAATTCCTTCAGCCTCAGTTGTCCACACTCCCTCCTTCATATTATTGCTTAAGGGCTAGTTTACACTTCCATTAGACCTCTGAAGAGTGATTTGTGGTGGATCGTTCTTCAGAGGGTGTTTGGAAGGCAGTGAGGAGGCATTATGTGGTCTCCCCACCTCCTGTTTTAATGTCTAAATACCTGGACCACCACTTTACAACTGCGCTTGATGGTGCGGATTTTTAGGCGTTAATTAGGTGGTGAATGGGTTGTGTTCAACGGGCACTGTGCCCATCAAATGTGAAAAGGTGGATCATTTTTCCTGTGGCTGTGACATTTGAAAATGCCTGTGTAGCTTAAGCGGGGTGGTAAAAACGTGTCTCAACTGTGTGTGTTTCTAGGCCCTCCCCCCAACCACAAGCTCTAACACCGTCAGGAGGTGTCAGCTTGTCTTCTTCATGTAGACCTCTGGTGTCCAACACTTATGTGGCCTGCCAACCCTCTGTGTGCTGCCCGCGTGCAGAGTGTCTCCACACCAAGGGCGGACTGACCATTTGGAAACTCGGGCACTGCCCGAGGGCCCGGGGGGGTCAGTAGGGGGCCCCATGAGATGCCCCTGGTACCTTTTTCATAGGCTTTTTTGAGTTTGGGCAAGGACACAGGGGCCCCATGATCCCCTATTGCCTGGGGGCCCCATGAGTTGTCAGTCCGCCTCTGCTCCACACGATATGTCTTATCAGGAGATAAGAGGCCAACACTGAAAGAAGGGGAGGATTAGAGAAGACAGGATCAAACAGCCTTTTTACATAATGTGGAGGATTAACCCCTTAGGTTCCACAGTGAGTATAACAAGCATGCTTTACTGACTGATTTTACTATTGTGGGTTTAGTAACACCACCTGTCATAGTGTATAGGGACTGGCTTCCTCTGGAAAATGCTAGTTGCCTGTTTTTGTTTACTTTTGGATCACAAAGGTTTGGATATGTGTTCAGTTCAGCTTAACAGCCAGAAAACAAGCATTTTCAAAGTCAGCAATGGTAAACATCCTTGCAGTTGATTATCACCTGGCCATACACAAGCAGTTTTGGTCATTTGTTGGCAATTGATCAGAGTAACGAATGAATTATTGTATTGCCAATACATGAATCATATTATTATTATTATGCAGGATTTATATAGCGCCAGCAGTTTGCTCAGCACTTTACAATATAACGAGAGACAATACAGCAACAATACAGTTCAATACAAGAGGGATAGGAGGGCCTGATCCTTGGAGCTTACAATCTAGGAGGGAATTTATTGGAATATTAGAAGAGAACTCCAATATATCTTTGAATTCATAACTGCGAATGATATCATCAGTTCCCAAAGGGTTAGGCAGATCCCAGCAGTCAGCTAATGCAAGTACCTGGCACCTAATGTCCCTGAGTCATTTCTATTGTCAACAAAACCACATGTTCTGTGACACTTCCAATACAATAAAACACAATGTTTCATATTTAGATGGCAGTATTTTCTAAAAACAGAAATCGTTTACTTGTCATCACTGGCATCACACATCCAGAATTTCAGGATTTCTCCTTCTTTGATGACAATGGGCGGGACTATGCAAATCACAGTTTTCCGCAGCAGTGGCCACCTGTTCTTCCTGTCCTACTGGTATATACTGGAGCACAGATACACATTAAAATGATACAGACTTTTATTGATTTATTTCAGGTACTTATATAGCGCTGTAAATTTACTCAGCGCTTTACATATATATTGTACATTCACATCAGTCCCTAACCTTGAAGGAGCGTACAATCTAAGGTCCCTAACTCACATTCATATACAATGGCCAATTTAGACAGGATCCAATTCACCTACCAGCATATCTTTGGAGTGTGGGAGGAAACCAGAGTACCCGGAGGAAACCTACACAGGCAGAACATGCAAACTCCAGGCAGGTGATGCCATGGTTGGGATTTGAACCAACAACCCTAGTACTGCCAGGCAGAAGTGCTAACCATTTAGCCTCTGTGCTGCCCGTTGCAACTTGAAGGCAGTTGATTCAGTTCTTTTGCCTATTGTCATTGTGAAGAGAAAGATAAACTCAGCCCTCATTGGGCTCATCTACATGAGCTTTGCTCTCCTAAGCTGGCCATACACGTGTAGATTTTCAGACGAGAATATTCGTAGGAAAAGTCGTACGAAAAATTCTTTGAACATTCGGTGAATGAACAAATGTTGTTCAAAAATTGTCTTTTGATTTTAACATTTGAGTTAAAAATGAATGTAATTTCTGAATGATAACCACATATACTAGTCGAAAATTCATTTGATCGAGAAACGTTTTCCTTCCTGCCCCTTCTAATTTTCCCGTCACTGCTGTCAAAAACAAACATCGATTTGACCCCAGTAATGATGAGAAAATCAAATGAATATTCTTCAAACTAAAATTCTTGAACAAAAATCTATCGGTGTATGGCCAGCTTTAGGCCCCATTTACACCTGAGTGGTTTGTAGTGTGAAGCTTGAAGCTCCAAAACGCTCAGGGAGAAAAAAAATCAATATTACTCTATGGAGATGGTTCACATCTCCACTCCAAGTCACCTGAAGCAGAACGTCTGAAGCTCAAAAAAGTTTTGGAGCTACTATTGTAGCTCTGTTCAGGCAGATTGATGCATTTTTGGCACGTTTTTATTCCCATGGAAATACATGGAAATGCGCAAATTGTGCGTTTTCATGTGCTTTTACATGTTTCGTCGTGCGACCAAGAGCGTTTTTCTGGCATGGTAAAACATGGCAACAATTGATGTCATAGATTACATTTTTCTCTATTGGCTAATACAAAAATGCCAGATCTCAAAAAGCCTGAAAATGCCTGAAAATATCACGCAAAAACGTTTACAAACGCGCATAAAAACATGCAACAAAACGCAAGAAAAAATGCAGAAAAACACTACGCTCAGATGTGAATGGAGCCTGAAGAGATCTTTTCAGAGGGCGTTTGGCAGGCAGTGAAAAGGGTTATGTTGCCTCCTCACTACGTAACCCCTAAAAATGCACCACTGCCCTGCGACCATGCATATTGCACATGGCACGGCCCCATTTTGATGAATGGATGACACGTGGACCAACAAACACATTGGGGGGGGGGCAAAATGTTGCTGTAATACAAAGCATTGCATCTACTGCATTTGTACACCCCTGTCTGCTGCGCTTATGTGCGGTAAAAGAAAAGATCAGCCTCATGCTTTTACTTCTCCCCGAATGCAAATATAAAAGCTTTAGTTCAGGTCTGTAGCATGTGACCAGCGGCCAAGCGGAACTTCACACTCTTAATCAACATTGACTATTTTTATTCCTTTTGCTGCTAGCATTAGTAAATAGATAGGGAAGTAGATCATATTTATTTGTTTAAAAGCTATTTTTAAATTTCTTTGGTTACTTCCTGGTTTCTAGGCCTAGGAAAATAATGTCATACATCCCAGAAGTCTTCAGGAGGGGAGGAGGGTTTTTTCTCAACTAAGCACACCCTCCTGCCTGCATGCCTGAGCTAAGGGCAGCTGGATTCCATTAAGTAAATGCTACATGAATCATCCGCCCTTACTCAAGATGGCCACTGACAGAAATGCTAGAGGGGTGTTTTTCAAAGTGATTTCTCAGGAGAATAAAGCATTGTGACATGGATGGATGGGGGGGCTTGCTTTGAATATTAAAATGAATTAAATAGTGCTTTTGGTCTGTGGTGCTCAGATGCAGTGTAGTTCCACTAACTAAACACAAAGCTTTCTTAGATATGATGTGTCCCTGTTAGATTCACTCTCTAATTGTCCTGATCACTAATGTTTCCAGGAATAAAAGTGAGAATAAATCCAAAATTCTGTGTTGCCACCGGAACATTAATAGAGGGCAAATCTTCTGATGGGGACACTAGTTCCGGTGACAGTTTTCTAAGGGGATTTCCCTCCCGTTGGAAAGATTTTCATTTCCTACTGCGTCTACAGGACAGGAAGGGAAGCGAAATCTCCTAAAAGCAGAATTAAAGGTAAAAATACTTCCCTTAGTTCCAAGAGTTCAGCGCCTGCAAAGTTACTCTCCAGTGCAGACATCTTCTTCCCAGTTTCTTCTGATCTTTGGTCGCTTTGATTGGCCGGCACAGGATGATGTCACTTCCACACATGTGCAGAAGTGCAGTCATTCCGGTACACAAGTAGTGTGCCGGAAAGTAAACTGAGCATGTGCAGCTCAGTGTACATTGTATAGGGCAGTGGTCTCCAAACTGCGACCCGGGGGCAGGATGCAGCCCTTTGATTGTGTGACGGGAGTGACTTTGGGTGGGGGGCCCATGGAACACAGCTCACTTTGGAGGGGTGGGGAGACTCCTGTCTCAGCTCCCCATATCCCTCTTATGTGTAAGTCACCCTGTGCCAGTTAGGGGTGAAGGGTGAAATGTCCTGATATTGTGTAGACATGTATAGGTGGGGGTTGTTCATTGTTTACTGCCATGTGGTGCATCCCATTGTTCTATTGTGTGTCTTGCTTGGGAGCAAACTATTATGGGATGTATGTGTTTGTGTATTGGCTTGGTGGGGGGTGTCCGCTGATGTGTCTCTGGTTGCTAGATTTGGTTTGCCCCGCCCTGTGTCCTTATGCAGGGAGGGGAGAATTGTTACCTTGAATGTATATATCTTGTGTCCGTATTAAAATAAAGCAGTCTATTTCCTGAATTATTTCAAGACTGGTCTTGGCTAGTCTTGTATGGCCAGCAATGTGGTCCGTGGACAGTGTTTGGACAGGGAAGCGGGAGCCTAATGGAAATACCCAAGTGCAGTTGGGGTCCAGTTCCGTTACAGATTGCCTTTATCTGGCCCTTGGGGCACTATCCCTGCCTCTGATATGAGGCACCATTTCTTCCACTAACACCAACATTGGGACTTAATTCCTCCCACTGATATAAACTGCAGAACACTATTACTTCCACTAACACTACAGATGCTGCACTTTTCCTGCCACTGGTACCATCATTGAGGTACTGTTCCAGCCACTGACATCAACAATGGGGCATAATTCCATCCATGGATATAAAATATAGAGCACTATTACTCCTGCTAATACTAAAGATGGGGCACGTTTCCTCCCACTGATACCATCGATGTGCACTACTCCTGCCACTGACACCAATGCTGGAGCTCCAGTCCTTCCCTGACACCAATGCTGGAGCTCCAGTCCTTCCCTGACACCAATGCTGGAGCACCAGTCCTTCCCTGACACCAATGCTGGAGCACCAGTCCTTCCCTGACACCAATGCTGTAGCACCAGTCCTTCCCTGACACCAATGCTGGAGCACCAGTCCTTCCCTGACACCAATGCTGGAGCTTCAGTCCTTCCCTGACACCAATGCTGGAGCTTCAGTCCTTCCCTGACACCAACGCTGGAGCACCAGTCCTTCCCTGACACCAAAGCTGGAGCATCAGTTCTTTCCCTGACACCAGTGTTGGAGCACCAGTCCTTCCCTGACACCAATGCTGGAGCACCAGTCCTTCCCTGACACCACTGCTGGAGCATCAGTTCTTCCCTGAAATCAATGTTGGGGCAGCGGTTCTTCCACTGACACCAGTATTGGGGCACATTTTCTTTCATTGATACCAGTGGCGGGGAACCATTCCTTCCACTGGCACCAATGTTGGGGCACTATTCCTCTCACTGATACCAGTAATAGGGCGCTATTCCTTCTATTGACACCAATGATTGGGCACTATTTCTGCTGCATTTTCCACTCCCACTTGTTACAGTCTGGCCCCCCTAAAGTCAGCAGACCAGAAAACTGGCCCTTTGTTCAGAAAGTTTGGAGACCCCTAGTATAGGGGATTGTGAACAGCCTAGTAAGTGTATTTTTCTGCAGAAGAGACATTGTATATCTCTTCTGCAATATAGAGTCTGCCTGTTTGCAATTTGTTATTTTCTAACTGTAGTTCTGCTTTAACCACTTCAATGCCAGCATGTTTCAGCCTCTTCATTACCTGGACATTTTTCAGTTTTTAGTGGTGTGATACTTTGACTGACAACTACTCAGTCATGCAACACAATATTTGGATGAATTTTATATAAATTATTGAGAAATAGAAAACTTTCTTTTGGTGGTAAGTAATGACCAATGGGGTTTTCTATTTATGTATTTAAACTTCTGACATGAAATATGAACAAAGCATATCCCTTTATGGTGTGTACCTATCTGAATCCAGAGCACTAAGTGTAATTTCTGTCTGCTGCCTTGTTTCTCTCCTATCTTTATGAGTCACTTCCAAAAGATTTTCCTGACACCAAGAGCTAAAAAGGTGTCAGGGGGGAGGGAGCTCCAGGACACAGCCTGTGATTGACAGCCTCAGCTCTGTTCCTGTGTGCTGTGTGAAGGGGAAGGAGATGCCCCTTCCCTCCAATCAGCTCTCACTGAGCTCTGCAGAGTGTAATTCCAGCTCCAGTGGATTTTATTATTGTTGGCTCTGTCCTGTATTGCACTGGTGCTGGGTGGTGGTCCGGAGGCCACTGGGTGGCAATCAGTGCTTCCTGATCACCAACCAGTGCATGATACAATGATGCCAGATGCAGCCTGGGATTAAATTGTGTGATACTTTGATTGGTCACAGTGATCATGTGATACAGAGCCACTCTTATTGCTTCTATATTGCTATGTACCCAGTCCTGTGACCCACTGGGGTTTATTTACTAAAGCTGGAGAGTGCAAAATCAGACTCACTTCTGCATAGAAACCAATCAGCTTCCAGGTTTCATTACCAAAGCTTCACTGAACAAGCTGAGGTTAGAAGCTGATTGGTTTCTATGCAGAAGGGAGTCTGATTTTGGACTCTCCAGCTGTAGTAAATAAACCCCACTGTGTCCAATCATATGTTTATGCGGAGGTGCGCACAGGAGCTCCATACTAGTATGTCCTTCTGAAACAACTGGGGAGCGGACTGGCGGTACATGTACAGTGATTGGTCTGTAAGAGGTTAATGAGACACAGATGGCAAAAAACAACAGCAGTTTCAACCTTTCCCTGAAAAAAAGGTTTTGGCTTTAGAAATTTAACCGCTTGCCGACCACCTCACATAGGAGTACACCAGCGGGTCTCCGCCAATGATTGACGTCCAGGACCCCCTGATCAGTGAAGAGAAAGACAGGACAGAGCTGTGTGATTGTGATTAACAGAGAGCTCTGTCCTGATGAGCTGCTTTTTGTTTCCCTACAAAGCAGAGAATAAAAAACACATCCCTTAGTAAAAACAGCACACAGCGAATGCACCAAGCACTCCTAGGCACACAGTTAACCCTTTGATTCAAATGGATACTGTGCTAGGTGAACCCTTATACCTTTACAAGCACTATGAAGACCTTCACACCTCTGAAAAGCAATCAAGAAATTAAAATGAAAAAAAATTGACCTTCACCCCTCTGAAGGGCGATCAAAGTTTAAGAAAAAAACAAATGAATAAACTAAGTGAGTACAATAATCATACATACGTATGCAAAACCGTGATATACAGTATGGTCAAATTAACCTGAAATTTCATACATTATCCATGAGCCCTGTGAAAACCCTCACACCTCCGAAGAGTGTTCGAGGTTGAGGTTAGGTCAAATCTCACTGTGCAAATTGTATTCACCTCAAATATACATAAAGGTTAGTAAAAAAGTGTCAAAACAAGAAAAACAATAATAAAATGTCCATATAGACATAAACCATAGTCCATAAATATGAAAAGAAAATTCCACAATCGATGGTATTGTAGAGAATGCTGTAGGTGCAAATGTGGATAGACTTGCTTCAACTGGTCACCAAGGTGCACACCACCACCAAAGTATGGAATGGAAGCTTACCAGAAATGGAGACCCCTTAATAATAGGGGGGTCCCAACCAGCTTTATAGTATAGAGCACTGGCAGGCTTTCCGTATCACGCCCCAAAGCATGGAACTTCCCAGGCTCCAACTCGAATGTAAACTCAAAGTGTGACAAACCCTTTGATTGCCCCTAGATGTTAACCTCTTCCCAGCCAGTGTCATCAGAACAGTGTCAGTGTATGTTATTAGCACTGATCACTGTATTAGTGTCACAGGTTCCCACAAAGTGTCAGTGTCAAATTGGCCGTACTATTATGGTCCTGCTATAAGTCGCTGATTACCGCCATTACTAGTCTGTAAAACAAAGTTCCAGTATATACACCATAGTTTGTAGACACTGGAACTTTAGCACAAACCAATCAGTATACACTTACTGGGTTTTCTTTTAGCAAAGACTCATATCAGAAAACATTTATGTTTTATAGTATATTTTTATAGTTTTATAAAAAAGAAAGCTCTATTTCTGTGAGAAAAATGATATATTCATTTGCATACAGTGTTGCATGACCGCGCAATTGTCAGTTAAAATAGTGCAGGGTTGAATGGCAAAAAATGGCCTGGTCATGAAAGGGGTAAAATCTTCCGGAGGGCAAGTGGTTAAGGCAAGATACCCAGACCTAAGTTTTCCAGCATCATCATGTGAGTTAAAGCAAATATATCCCAAAAACAAAAATGTAATGTATTTCAGTTAACCAGTCCTTAGATGTTGCATTTTGTCAGATCTTCCCAGAAAAACAGTGACCTTGTCACTTCCCGTGAGCTGAAAGAACAACATAATATTATTCTTCATTTGTAAACTGCTAGTCCCATCAACTAGCATGTTATGTAAATGAACAAAAGCAGTCATGTTTGAAGTCATCCTTTGTGACAACTATGGCTGCCTCCAAAGATACAGTGGAGAAGTGAGTGTAGCCAGAAAAGCACAGAAAATATATTATTTGCAGGAAAAACCAGGTGAAAATAAAAGAAAAAAGCCTGAAAAAAAAGAAATCTAATGCAATCACTACCTCTGATTACTGGTAACCTGCAGTAAAATCCATATTTGTATTTGAGTTTGAATCACCTATAACTTGACTTAAAATGGTATTACACCTAGAAGTAAACATTTATTATATGCTTACCAATTCTTAGATGTGATGGCTGCATTCGTTTTTTTTTTAGGCTTTCTTTCCTCTGTTTTCATGAGCCAGCCAGTAAGTCTGTTGTTTTTCATCAGAACAAGCTTTTCTGTGAACGTGGCAGTTAGAGGGTTGAGACAAACCATTTATCACTGTGAGCGGTGCTTACAACAGGGGCGGGCTGACCATTTGGAGGACCCGGGGTCAGTAGGTGCCCCATGAGATGCCCCTGGTACCTTTTTCATAGGCTTTTTTGAGTTTGGGCAAGGACACAGGGGCCCCATGATCCCCTATTGCCCGGGGGCCCCATGAGTTGTCAGTCCGCCCCTGGCTTACAATGTACAAAATGTATTTATTTATGTAAAACCTTTTTAACGTAAAAAAACAAACAAAACCTATTTGCTGTTACTTTTGGCCCGCAGGCTAGGTTCACACTATTGCAGGTGGTTGCCGGTGCGATTTTCTGGCTGCTGTGTTTTCAACATGCTGCAGGAATCTGCCTGCAAAGCTGCAATAGTGTGAACCGAGTCTTACCCTAGGTTCACATCTGTGCGGGTGGTGCCGCTGCGGATCCACATGAAAATCCGTGCAGCCGCACCACCCGCACAGAGAATTGTGGACCGGTGGGCGGGTGCCATTAGTGGGAATCGCAACCGTACTGGGAGCCGAGGTTCCCGTGTGGGCTGCGTTTTCCAAAGAAGTGCAGGGACTTCTTTCCCTGCGTGGCACGGACACGGGAGTCCATTCAAATGAATGGGGTCTCATGCCTGTGCAAAACGCATCCCGCATGGCCGCATAGATTTGAACTGGGGGTGAAAGTGTGTTGCAGTCACCAAGTGGCCAAAGGTAATATAAAATATGTAATTCATTTTACAAGACTATGACCCATACGCAAAGCATGCTAGTAATAACCTATAACAAGAAATCAAATTGACAGCGGAGTCTTGAAAGTTCCTACTGGATTGATTTTTCCAGCTTGCTCAATAATTTTCTCCACCTCTGATTTCCAGTTTAGCTGATAGCATTTTCAACTGATTTTTGTAGTAAGATGTTTAAATAAAACTTGAAACGTTGTTCTGATGAAATCAGCACATTGTAAGTCAGAAATCGATGGATATGTCCGGTCACGTGTTACACGATAGCTATGACAAACCTGTATAGTCAGTATGCAAAGCAACATGCGGTCTGCAGGCACAGCCAGTCATTGGATCTCGCCTTTTTGTCGGCGCTCAGACTCTCGCGGCCTCCAACTCCTACAAGTGTAGCAAAACAGTAATGGAATATAATCAAGATAATGTGTGTCACAGCTGTTCACAACTGGGATGTAATAATCCCACGTTCCTTGGCAGCAAAAAAAGTGTTGCCGTTTAATTCCCGAACTAGTAAAAATGGCCATTCATTCAGTGTAAAGCCGTTCAGGAGCACAGCCACAGCTCAGTCAGGAATGTGTTAGGACTTAAAGGAGAACTCCACTTAGATGGCATTTTTATCTAAACGGACCACAATGTGTAATCCTACTGCCATAGTCTAACAACTAGAATACTAGAATTCTTTTTTTTTTTGCTGTGAAAAGTTTACTTTTTGTTGTGTCCCCATTCTTTTGTACCAGGGACATGAGGGTGGATTTGAATCATTTTGCAATCCTGACTACTCATCAGCACATTGGTAAAGATAATTCCAGGTTTGGCGATTTTTACAAAGTTATGTTGGTCTAACTTTTATCAATGTTTTGTATATGCATGGCTTTTTTTCTCGGTGCAGGAATTCCCCCTTTCTGAGTCACCCCTTGTCTCCGCCTCTACCCACCTCTGAGCACCATTCCTTGGTTTCACCCCCTACCTACCTCCCAGTACTGTCTCTTTGAAAGAATACAAAAGTAAGTGGGGCTAAGTAAACTGTATAGAATTTGTAAATGATAACAAGAAAAGCAGTAAAATAGATCCTCATACAACAGTAGATTCCCCAGCAACAATGGATCACCCACAACAAAATACTCCCCAGCAACAACAGAAACCCCCCAACAGCTTTAAAAGATCTCTCCACAGTCAGCATGCATCAATGAACCCTTCAGCATCGAGCAACAATAAACCCCTCCCTCAACAGTAGATCTACCCCAGGGAAAACTGACCCCCTCCTGCATAATAAGACCCACTCCAGCAACAACAAAATACACAGCCAGCATGCCGGCATCAATGGACTCTTCTGTAATGAGCAACAACAGACCCCTCCCTCAACAGTAGATCCATCCCAGGAAAAACGCCCCCCCATTGAAAAATAAAACCCACCCCAGCAACAACAAACTACACAGCCAGCATGCCAGCATCAATGAACCCTTCAGTAATGAGCAACAACAGACCCCTCCCTCAACAGTAGATCCCTCCCAGAAACAATTGAATACCCAGCAAAATAAGACCCACCCCAGCAACAATAGAATACACAGCCAGCATGCCAGCATCAATGGGCCCTTCAGCAACGAGCAACAATAGACTTCTCCCCTAACAGTAGATCCCTCCCAGGAGCAATTTACCTCCTAGATAATAAGACCTACCTTCAGTATTACCTTCAGTAATGAGCTACAACAGACCCCTCCCTCAACAGTAGATCCCTCCCAGAAACAATTGAATACCCAGCAAAATAAGACCCACCACAGCAACAATAGAATACACAGCCAGCATGCCAGCACCAATGGGCCCTTTAGCAAAGAGCAACAATAGACGTCTCCCCCAACAGTAGATCCCTCCTAGGAACAATTAACCTCCTAGCAAAATAAGACCTACCCCAGCAACAATAGACACCCCCCTGCAGAAATAGACCCCCTTCGGCATCAATAGACCCTGCAGCACACTCCAGCACCCCTTGCCATTACATACATTCAGTGCTGGGGGTGCGAGAACTGCATTCCCCCTCATTCTTGCTGAAAAAAATCCCCATGTATATGTCATACCTATAGGATCCTCATAGAAGCTGGAAATCACTGTAGTAGACATCGTTATTATATTGACCTCCAGTAGCTTCCAGGTCTCATGCCGAGCGGCTGCCTTACTGCACTGTGAGCAAAGGAGGTCCCTCGTCCAGCAAGGGCACCATTCATAGAACACTTTGCATCTTTTTAACTACTTCCCGACTATAGGATGTCACATGACATCCTCAGATTGAAGTGGTTATACTGGGATGATGCCTGCACGTGCAGGCATCCTCCCAATATCAAAATTTTCTGCTGCCAATTCTCTTTACAGCAGAAGTGATATGAGACCCCACTGATCGGCTACATTGGAGACCAGAGGAGAGATTTGGGGTCTAATAGACCCCAGATCTCTCCATAAAGAGGATCTGTCATGGGACAAAAAAGGATTTTGTTCATTCCTTGTGAAAACAAGTTGAAAAAATTAAAGAGACATGAAATAGTTTATGAAAAACTCTTTTGTGCAGCTAATGGTTTGAATTCGGCGATCTCTTGAAGAAGTGAGGTTACCCGATTTGAGTCAATGTGTGGGGCAACCAAAGAGATTGCATACCAGCGGTTCTTAGAGTCCAGAAATGTGTTTTATTGATTCCATAAATGACAATAGGGAAAAGACGGAATGACAGCCAACATATTTTGGGGCCCATAAATTCCTCTTAAAGCTGTAGTAAAGTACAAAAAACTTGCCCCTTGCAGGTGTGAGCCATCATGGATTAGTATGCAGCGCACACTAGCACATTATGAGGGGCTTACCTACAAACGGAGCCCTCCAGCGCTGACCTTTCACACCTCTCTTAATCCCTGGGGGCTTCCATGTTAACCCGGTCTTCCTTTCGGGTTCTAAATCACCTTCTGCTTGATTGGCCGGGCTGCAGTGACATCACTTCCACACATGCGCAGTGGATGTACCTTGCCACGGCATGCACATATTCCGTAAATGCGGTCTGAGCTGTGCATGCACAGCTCAGATCTCATTACCGCTGACAAGCAGGGGGAACATTTATGACAGAAGAGACCTCTAGGGCCTTTTCTGTTATAGAAACCCTGCCTGTCAGCAGATTTTGGCATGCAGGAGTTTACTACCACTTTAAAATGTTACTAAACCCAAGACCCTGCATCCACTATATCTGGTCTCCCACAGTAAACGCAACATGGAAATGCAATTATTTTAGTAAATATAAACTGAAAAATACCTTTTCTTATCAGCAGTCTTGTGACTTCTATCAGTGTTCAGCAGAGCACTAGTTAAAGCTTGTAGGAGGAGTTTTATTTCTACTCTAGGATAATACAGAACCCCTGACCTCTGTCTGGACCGTGCTGATTGGCCCTGTGCTGATCACAAGCACTCTCCCAAGAAAAATAAAACTCTCTAGCAATACACACCAAACTGAGCATGTGCAGAGCATTACCACACGATATGTCTTATCAGGAGATAAGATGGGGACACTGGCAGAAGGGGAGGATCAGAGAAGTCAGGATTATACAGCATTTTTACACAATGCAGAGGATTAACCCCTTAGGTTCCACAGTGAGTATAACAAGCATGCTTTACTGCATATACAGACTGATTTTACTGTTGTGGGTTTAGTAACACTTTAAATTTAATGCAACTTAAATTCATTTGGACTAAAATCCTGGATAATTCAACCCAAACCAGAAGAATAAAATGCAGAGAGATGCCCTTTCGCTGACACATGTAATTTAAGTTGCATTTTAAAGCCCTGATGAACATGAATTCTTGAGCCTGCCGAAATGCGTGAACTGCCTTTCCTGGTCATTTGTGGAATCAGTAAAACACCTTTTTGGATTTGAAGAACCGTCGGTTGGCGCTCACTTTGGTTAATAGAGGGGGTTAGTAGAGGGGAGAGGACAAGGTTAAAAATCCCCCCCCTCGAGATAGAGCTTTAGTGAATCTAAACCGGGAATGAAAACAAGACCTCAGCTCCCATGATGCAATAGGCGCTCTCCGTACCCTGCGACAGGGAGCCCCATCTTCATATTTAGCATGATGTATGGAAGGCGGTAGGGGGAGGACAAAATCCTTATTTATCAGCTTGTTAGGCATTACAAATCCACTAAACTGCCACTCAAGAAAAAAATAGGTTAGAGCTCTTCAAGTAAAATCAATAAACCGGATTATAATTAGAACAAAGTTCTTATTTAATTATGGACTGTGCGCTCGTTATATTTACTAAGGCAGGAGTCACTCAGGAATGTATCAATGGATCAGTTCACCGCATACAAGCAGTTTTCAGGTCACCGAGGTATTCTTCTAGCTGGATGATGCAGTAAAACATGTATTTATTTCTTTAAGGGCCGGTT